TCACTGGATTTTTTTTTTCTTCTGCCTGAATGGTAAAATTGAATAAATGGTTTGTGCTGGTGTCTTGTTTCCAGGACAAACATCGCAAGCTAGTATTTATACGCTTTAAGTCATCATTATTAGCTTAAAGAAAAGACAGTGGCCTTTGGGCTTTAGTCATGAGCTCTTTGAGGGCCTTTTAGCCGTCTATTATGTTCTTGTGTCCCGTGACCCCTTCCCCCACACTTCCAGCCCTTGTTCTCTATTCACCATCACATAGGGCTGCTGAGCAAGAAACAGGCTTAGAAGATTTTCTCAGTGATTTCTCCACTTCACATCCTCTGTTTATATCACATTTCCATGCCCACAAGACTAAACACGACCTGCTCTGAACTCCCATGGCATAATAACAGTATTTGAGTTTCAACAAAAAGATGTTCGCTCTCAATACTGCGTCCACTGTGATCAAAGAAATTGAAGACAGACGTTTTAACGATCCCAAAAGAAAACCTTTAACCGTTTCAATCTCAACAGCTCGAAAACGAGGTCATTTTTCTCTCATGCACACGCGGGCTGATTAGACTTGGCTTGTATTTAGTTTTCTCTGTTAATGTAGGGATGGAGGTGGTGTAGCAGGAGAGTGAGGTTAAGCGTTAGAAGCACTGGGGGTGGCACAGCAAGAGGGATCGATTCTTATTTAGATGAAAATGAGGCTCAGCGCTTGTGGGCTGAGGGTGCATCTGCCTCAAACAGATTTAAGAATACCTATTCACAGTCAAGAGGGGGAAAACTATTCTCATGGTGGCAAATACTTTTAAATTAAATGTCAATTGACAAAGATTAATGTATGCATGTGCTGTAGTAGTTGCCTACGTAGATACACTCTCAAAAATAAAGGTTCTTTATTGGCATCTGTGGTTCCAAGAAGAACCTTTAACATCCATAGAACCTTTTAATTGGACGAAATGTTCTTTATCGTGGATATATATATATATATATATATATGGTCCTTATATTTAAGTAGTTCATCCAAAATGAAAATTTGCTGACAATTTACTCACCTTCAGGTCATCCAAGATGTTGATGAGTTGACCAGAAATTTAGCATCAAGTCACTTGCTCACCAGCGGATCCTCTGCCGTGAATGGGTGCCGTCAGAATAACATCTGATAAAAACATCACAATAATCCACAAGTAATCCAAATGACCTGAGTCCATCAATTAATGTTTTGAGAAGTGAAAAGCTGCCTGGTTGCAATAAACAAATCCTCAAGACATTTTTTTACTTCAAACCCTTGCTTCGGGGCTGAAATTTTTTGGGTGCACTGTTCCTTTAAATCGTGCTCCATTTTCAGTAACTGGTTGAAATTGTTGTGATATTTGTAATAAGCAGAACAAATCTTCATTAATAAATTAAAATTCACGTCTTATGCAAAATAGGCATTTGGTGTCTACTAGTTTTAGATTTATATATATAATTTTGTGGTTCATTTTACCACTGTGCTACAGGACCCCATTGTCCATCGTTTAAGAAATGAAAGGAGACAGATGGAAAGAAATATAGATTTACAATTACTCAAAATCTCACAGTGCGAAAGCAACGCTGTGATAACGAGTTCAGGTTACAGTTTGTTCTCTAATAGTTTCATTCTCACTTCAGATTGATTAGTGCTAGATTGTAGCCGAGAGATGTGCTACGTGTCAGCATAAACCAGGACCACTTTTGTCCTATTCCTCTCTCTGCGCACACATCATCAAACAAAACAAAAAGTCTCTCCCCTCCACATATTCCAGCACCCATTCATCTGAGAAGCCTGTCTTTTCTCTCTGAGTGATGAACTACCACAAAACGTCCACGTTTGCAAAAAAAAAAAGGGGACTACTTATTTTTAATCTGAACTGTCCGTGCACTTGAAAAAAGACATTGATTTAAATAATTGATGTTATACTTAGCCATTTATATGGAAAAAAACATGAAAATAATATTAATAATAAAATTTTTGTTAGACAATTAAAGTTATTTTTACTTTGTAATAAAGTGAATACTGTGGAGCTTTTATGAACTTTATTTATATATACATAATTACCAAAAAAGTTTAGAAAACGTCTTTTATATATATATATATATATTTATTTATATATACAAGCATATACACACACACACACATACATATATATATATATATATATATATGCAAAAAGAACATAAAGGCTCGTCTCAGTTTTGCCAGAAAACATCTTGATGATCCCCAAGACTTTTGGGAAAATACTCTGTGGACTGACGAGACAAAAGTTGAACTTTTTGGAAGGTGTGTGTCCCATTACGTCTGGCTTAAAAGTAACACTGCATTTCAGAAAAAGAACGTCATACCAACAGTAAAATATGGTGGTGTTAGTGTGATGGTCTGGGGCTGTTTTGCTGCTTCAGTACCTGGAAGACTTGCTGTGATAAATGGAACCATGAATTCTGCTGTTTACCAAAAAATCCTGAAGGAGAATGTCCGGCCATCTGTTCGTGACCTCAAGCTGAAGCGAACTTGGGTTCTGCAGCAGGACAATGATCCAAAACACACCAGCAAGTCCACCTCTGAATGGCGGAAGAAAAACAAAATGAAGACTTTGGAGTGGCCTAGTCAAAGTCCTGACCTGAATCCTATTGAGATGCTGTGTTCACTTGTGTTATCTTTTACTAATATTTAAATTTGTTTGATGATCTGAAACATTAAAGTGTGACAAACATGCAAAAAAATAAGAAATCAGGAAGGGGGCCAACACTTTTTCACACCACTGTATATACATACAGTATATACATATGTGTGTGTGTGTGTAGAATACATTTTCTAAACCTTTTTTGGTAATTAATCTATTTTCTTTTGCATAAAGTTATGCACACACTAGACAGGTTAAGTCATATTTTAAAGGTATAGTTCACCAAAAAAAAAAAAAGTATTTGAGTCTTTTACTCATCTTGATATTATTCCTAACCTGTATGACTTTTGTTCTTCTGCAGAACACAAAGAAGATATTTAAAAAAAAAAAAAAAAAACAGCTCAGTGTTTTTGTCAATATAATAGAAGTCATTGGTTCAGTGTTGGGGAAAGTTACTTTTAAAAGTAATGCATTACAATATTGCGTTACTCCCTAAAAAAGTAACCAATTACGTTACTTTTTATGGAAAGTAATGCGTTACGTTACTTTTGAGTTACTTTCACAACAAGTGAAATGAATACGCCTCAGGCTGAAGGAAATGCAAATTCACGTCTGTACAGTAGAGGGAGCAGCTCAAACAAATTGCATGAAGAATATGACGCAGGAGAAGAAAGTTCAACACTATTCAGCAGTAACAAAAATGAAAAGCAAATGTGTCATTTTTGCTTATTAGTATGGATGAATTAGATCATCTTTAGATCGTCAGTAGCAAAGACATTGGTTAATAAAATGGGATTAAATACATAAATTATATTTCTCTTATTTAACATTTAATTATTGCAGGTTTATATAATATTCTGAGTTTGCATTTGACATTTATATTCATTTTGAGGAATACTGAATCTGTTTTTGTGCAGTGAGAAGAATAAATAATGTTCATATTTAATCTAGAACTACAGTAACATCACAGCGCACACAACGCCTCTGCACTTACTCCCCATTTTTCTCAATATGGCAACATGAGAGCTGTCAGTCAAGACATGGGAAACAAAGTAACTAGCGTTACTTATTTGAAAAAGTAACTCAGATATTTCCTTCTAAATTAAAAAGTAATGCGTTACTTTACTAGTTACTTGGGAAAAAAGTAATCTGATTACGTAACTTGCGTTACTTGTAATGCGTTACCCCCAACACTGCATTGGTTACCAAAACGGTTTCATTATTAGCATTCTTCAAAATATCTTCTTTTGTGGCCCAGTGGTAAAATGAGCCAAAAAAAATGCTATATTTAAATGTAAAAAGTAGTAGAGAGAGACACCAAATGTCTAATCTGAATACAACTTTCTTCTGTGGCACACGAAAGAAGATTGTTTGAAGAATGTTAAAACAATTTAGGTTCCCATTGACTTCCAGTGTAGGCCTATGGACCAAAAAAAAAAAAAGAGAGAATATTTTCTTCCTCTTGTGTAGAAGTCAGTCAGTCATACAGGTTTGTATCAACATGAGGCGAGTATATAACACGTTTCATTTTTGCGTGAACTATTTCTTTAGGAACAAAAATAAACAAATTCAATTTTCAGTTTTTTTTTTTAATGATTTTAAAATGCCTGTAAATGACCAGAAGAGTATTCATAACAGCTCCTCAGCTAAATATTATAATGTACAACGTAAATACAAAGACATGTTATAAAGCTGAAAGTTTTTGTTATTTGTCCAGAACAGGAAGCATAGCACCAATATCAGACATTTTGAATGTTGGTTTCGCAACCATTCAGGTAGGCTCGATTTGCATCATCTAGGTACTTCATATTTTGTGAAATGATATGAACAGAAATAGTTTTGGTCGCAAGGGTTCATTGTGCTTCGTAAAATACAAAAACATCCACTGAAACGCCGATAATAGAATCTGGACACTTTGTCACTGCACTTAAACCACCCTTACATAAACTTACCATGGTTTTACTTCAGTAGCACTGCAATTATTAGCAGGCATGTTAAAGGGTTCATTCTTAATAACCCATTAGGGGAGTGAGTGAATCCATTTTCAATCGTAATTATGGCTTCTAAATACAACAGCTCGTGTGAACCATAGTTACGCTGATCAAAGCACAGCAATGAGGCGCCGTTCATTGTTTCACCTTTGGTTACCATGGTCTTGCACAAATACTTCGGTTCAGCTATGGTTACTAAACAAAAGCCACTTCCACGAAAAAACCTGCGTGCGTTGTGTTTGACAGAGACGCGCAAGTTGTTTACAAACGTGCGTGGACGTGCGAGGCGCGTGCAGCAGCGGCTCTTTTGTGCGCGATGATGACGCACGGGCTCTTATGTAGCAGCGTGAACGCGCGCAGTGGTGCGCTCGCTCAGAGTCAGAGTCAGAGTCAGAGGGGGAGAAAGAGCCGCCGAGGAGGGCAGAAACACAAGAGAGGGGCAAGTCTTTCTACGATAGCACCGCGGCTTGGGAGCAAACCAACTGAGTCGAGTTGGCTGGCATGGAGCTGAGCGTTGCCATTCTGAGCCGTTTCGAGCCGTCCACCTAAGCCGGGGCATTTCGCGCAAAGCCGGGGGGGGGCAGTTTGCTGTTGGTCCCGGGAGTTTGTGGAGCCCGTATGAATCTGTTGCTAGCAGCACTCGAATGCTAGTTAGCCCCGCTGCTAAGCAGCTAGCAACACTGCGAATCAATTGTGTCGGAGATCTCGGAAATACGTGTAAAAAAGCGGTTACGCTCATCCGCCGCTCTCGGGATTCGTTTTGCCCGTTGAGTTTTTGGGTTTTCCTAAGTGAGGGGACGCTAATAAGCGAACGCTAGAGTTTCAATTTCGATTTATTGTCAGCTGAGTTTTTTTTTCTCCTCTCTATTAGCTTGTTAGCCGCTCTGGTTGGTTTAGTCTAGCTTGTTAGTGGTGTCGGAGATTTCTACTGTAATAGCTGTCAGCGACAACAGCCCCTTGTTCGCGTATTTTTGGACATGAATGATTTTATCGCGAACTGCGAGTTGTTTAGAGAAGCGATACGTTGAGATGCCGCGCGTGGGATACTTAATGTTTCCAGGGACGCTTTTATTTTCTTGTTAGAGTGCTTTATGGGAGTGCTAGTGTGCAGGGTTTTGCTTTAGATAATACTAGAATTAAAACATCGTTTTTCTTCCCACCCCCCATGCGAACTGGTTATCCACCTTTATCCATCCACCGCGCGTCGTTTTCATGTGGTTAAAGCCCACATTTCAGTCGCACTCTTGTTGTTTTCTTATTTAGTGGTTCGTTCGGCTCCACGCTTGTGTTCACGCCGTCGGTGGTACATGGTCGCTGAGACAGATCGCTGAAACACGCGTTCATTGGTTTGCGGAGGGGAAACGGCGAGATTCGCCTCGAAGTATTATGGATGATCAGACCCGAATGCTGGCTAGCATGGGCGGACTCGGCGGACTCTCTCAGGCTGACGTGGGTGACCCCGATTCGGTTCGGAAGCAGCAAGACATAGGGGATATTCTCCAGCAGATCATGGCCATCACCGACGAGAGTCTCGACGAAGCCCAGGCGAGGTAAGACCTGTGTGAGGACGAGAAGTATGGAGGCACTCAAGAAAAACACTGTTTGTTTGATAGATACTTAAGTTCTATGAGGGGAATTACTGTGCAACAGCAGCTAGATAAAATCTACATCTCGTTGCGTTATACAGACACTTGTATAAACAGCGGCAACTGTGCGGCTGAACATCGCATGTGATCGAATGCATTGCACCTTCTGCTCATGTTACATATAGTTTTACTAGAAGGAAAAAACTGCACGTAATGTGTCAATTAATCGCGTTTGTTTGGGCGTTCTTGCATCTTCCCTTTTTTAAGTTGTTAAAAGTTGGCGTTGCGGTATTAGTTTGTAGTTTTAATGACTCGCTTTGGATAAAAGCATCTGTTGAAATTAATAAGCATAAATGCGTTTACTAAATGATCGGTTGGTGATTACGTAATGTACTTAATGAACGTTATTGTAACGAGAAAGTAGAGCAGGGGTCCCTGTGGCTGAAATCGTCGACATCTTTTGATAATTATTTTCTTTGCCGATTTCCATTCAAATAATACACTAAATATGCACCAAACTGATAAGACTATAATTATGCAAGTATTTTCCCCTCCTCTGGATTTGCTAAATGGGGCCAAAAAGGCTTTTGAGGTCAAATAATATATGTTTGTTATCAGGAGCCCCATGTGCTCTGTGAAGCCATTTGGTCTTCAGTGAGCGTCTGCCAGATTGAGGCCCCACTAGATAAATGAATTGGATTAATGTGCTACCTGGTCATTAGCATAGATAATCAGCGCCCTCTTAATTAAGTCATCGCCGTCAAACAGCGTCTGACTTAAACTCGAGATAAAAACACCCGACAGGTTTGACGACTTTCCCGCCTTTTCCCGCAGATTCTGCGCGCGTACAGTCGGCGTTTTTCTATTGACCGCGGTGAAATTGATCACTTATGGATCGCTAGTGACCTGCGATCTGTTGAAAGTTCAACTCGAGCCGCCGATCTCGGACAAAAGCTGCCTTTTAATGAGGGATCGTATGTGCGTGTATATGTGTCATTAGCTTGTGATTTTCCACCAAGCCATTTGACCACCTGGTTCTCGTAATTAATTCACTTCTCTTTTACCCTCCTCCTCCTCCCTGGTGTTCATCCTTTTCATTGTGTGTTGGGCGCAATCAATTCTCCTATAATGTGTGCGCGTGTGCAGCTGTCCGCAAATTGAGTTTCTATTAATGAGATGGAGGGTCGCTACACGGGGAACTTATGAACGCAACCATATTGCCTTTGTTTATACTGCATTTATTGGGTCATAGTGTTGACTTTGTTTCACTTGTGCAAAAGACCCATGAGTTGAATGTTGTGTTAGTCTAATTGAAAAGGGTTTTGAAGGTGTTTGGATGAAGACAAGCCTTCTAAATAAGGGATTGTTCATCCAAAAATTACAAATTCTTTCATTATTTTGCTGAATGACCTAGCTGCTGTTTTCAAAGTCATGAAAGTGAATGGGGACTAATGCAGTCAAGCTCCAGAAATTAATAAGTATAATTAAAATGATAGTCAATATGAATAGTGTTTAAGTCTTATGACGCCATACGTTAAGACCGACATCTCAAACAAAAAAAAGGGTTTTGTTATGAAAGCCTAAAAAATGTTTCTTGAGGGGTAACATCCAAATTAAATGTTTTTACTCAAGACAAAAATATTTAATGTCACCTACATTAGGATATATTTGAGCATTTTTTCCCCCAGTCAGCTCAATGACGAAGTGTCCCAATTTACTAGGGCTTGGACAATAAATCGATGCATCGAGAAATGATTCTGCATCGATTCTGAGATTTTCCGAGGGCATCGCGATTCTCTCTTGAATCGATTCTGAGCTTAGTTTTTAACAGCAGATGGCATTGCGTGCTTTAGAAATAGCTGTATTCTGCTTGCTTCCAGTTCCTTACATACGCACCATTTGAACCTAAAATAATCATTCATAAAGTTAGAAAAGGTTGAAGCGAATTACAAGGATGTTCACAGTGGGCTGTGTTTACATTAATCTCGCATCATAAAAGCATAAAAGGCGATGTGCAAGTACATTTAACCACTTACATTAAATTACTCAGCCGAACGCTCGAGCGCTCTTCTTCGTGAGCATTTGAATGTGCGGTTACAAACTAGCCTAGAGCGCCATCTGCTGTTAAAAACTAAGCTCCGAATCGATTCGAGAGAGAATCATGATGCATTCCGAAAATCTCAAAATCGATCCACGAATCGCGATGCATCGTTTTATTGTCCCAGCCCTACAATTTACCTGAATTCCCCCTATAGCATACGTGCATACATACAGGCTAACATAACCATACAGTGTAAAAATAACACTTTGAGTATATTTTACAATAAAATGCTGATTCAGTAATTTGCTTTAAAATTTCATGTTTAATTCAATGTGTTACTTACCATTTCTTTGTAATTGTTTGTGAAATTTACCAAGTTCTGAGTGAAAATTGTTTCTACACTTAATTTCTTTTGGTGTAGAGTAGACTTAAAGGGGTCATATGATGCTTTTTTAAAGATCATTATTTTATCTCTTTGGTTTTGAGACTTTAGTCTTTGCAACTTCAGGGATCTTATCTATGCACTATCAGCTTGTAACACTCCAAAGAGAAAGGAAAACTTGAAATCGCATCATATGACCCCTTTAACAAAGGTTAAAAAATTTTGTAGGGAGAACTTTATGTAAGGGTATATTGACAATTTGACGATGCAAAAGTTAGGCCCAAAAGAACTTACACCTTCCATTCGTATAACATGAAGCATTTCGTTCAACCAAGTTTTGAAGCAAGGGGAGTCTGAAGTTTTCCAGTGTAAGAGTATTTTTTATTGCATGGATCATACACAACAATAAAGATAACAAAATATATATTTTAAGAGCCAGATTGTGTAGAAATCACTCTTCAAGGTAACCTATTAATACTTTTTCCCCTCCGCTGTAGCTCCCAAATCTAATTCGAACTTCCGCATCTTCAAACTGGCATGAAGATTTGTCACAGCATGTGTCATGTTAATGATGCAAAACACTGTTGGTTCTTGTGTGTCTCATAACTGATCATAATATAGCAAGTTTGAATATGCAGAAATGAATTTGATTTGAGTGCTGCAGCGAAGGAAGCTTTGGGTTGTATGTGAAAAAGCAGTGTAAACATTGTTCAAAGCATCTCATTGACATAAGAGTAAGTGAATGACAGAATTGACTTTTTTTTTGGTGAATGATTCATTAAAGGATAATGCCAGATATTGTTAGTGATGGACGTAATTGCATTTTCTCTTTAGTCACTTCTTCTCTGTCAATGATATTCTGCAGTTATTCTTGAGTTTAAGCCCTTGCTGCCTTCAGTTATGAGGCAAAAAAGCCCTTTGGTGCTTCCGCACAGACTTGAAATAGTTCAGATACCTGAGAGAAATATGCATTATTATTTTGTCAAGTGTGGGATGGTTTTAGGGCAGAGAAAGCAGCTTAATTTGCAGAGTGGGGAGCTTTACTCCACTTTTTACAGGATTTTAACTGGTGTGGTCAGCATTCTTGGACACTACAATACATATTTCTCTTTTTTCTATCTTTTATAAACAAATTTCCTTTATTTGAGACTAATGAAATATGCACAGTTGTGGTATCTCATTAAATGGATCATAATGCCTCTTAAATTAATTAGTATAATGTGTCCCAAACCTGCATTATTTGCTGAGTGGAGGCACGTGCTTCGCTCAAAAAGGAAAAGAGAGCGCATTAAGAATGTGGTCCTGTCTGAATTGCTTTTTCATTGCATGTTAAAACAAATGAAATGCACAAGACTTCTTAACTTGCTTTGGCCTGTTGTCACTGCAAGTATTGTAGATAAGGTCAACTGAGTTGACAGACCAGATTACATCCTTTAGAAAAGAGCTAGTTAAGTTAAGCATTTATATCACTAAATCACTTTGTCCTTTATGCATATGTCCTTATTCATCGAGTAAGTTCTTAATATTTGTAGATTAGATATTTCTAGTCAAGCGTTAGTCTGCTAAACATCACATTTTGTTTTCATGTAACTTTAGGTTTACTTTGCATTTAGTAGGTACTGATTTGGTCTTTGTTTCAACATCTCAAACATTTTTTGGCAAAGTCAGACTTGTTCTGATTCCATCCTCATATGCCACAGCACTTGATTACTGTTTTGTTTTTTTTCCTTCGTTCTCTTGATCTGCATTATTTACTGTGGGGGTCTTTGGTCCCAGTGTAAGGGGAGGATGGGGTGGGATGTTATTGGGACGGTGGGAGCAGATGCCAGCGCTGTCTGAGCCTGCTGCCCTGAGCCTCTCACCCTGTTGCCCTGTGTCCAGATGCTGGCCAGAGGAGGCACCGGCGCAGTGGACCCCACAGAGGGAGGGGGAGCTGGGGGGGAGTACAGCAGGGTGTGCCCTGCCGCTCAACTTCCAGCACAGGTCAGTACAGGAGCGCATGAGTACCCCCCTCCTCTTCTCTCCCCCATCATCCCCTCCATGCTGATGACAAAGAGAAAATGCACCCTCATACAGTTTAAGATGCAGTTCAGTGTTTATGAAATATCTCATTGGAGCTAAACATTTAAAAGAAACAAACTCAGACCCATTTGAATAGACCGAATTGTTTATCAAGTGAGAAAGTTCTCATTTCATTCACATTGCCCTGGCTCTAAAAATGGGCTATTATTTTTAGTTGTGATAGTCTGTTCAGTAACCACTTGAATAAGTTTTATTGTTTTTTTTTATGTTTTTTTTTTTTTACTTTATTGTATTTGTAAATATTAATTTATCAAAAATATAATTATCAATTTATAAAAAAAAGTATTATTATCATTTCATTTATAATATGAGTGTCATTTATTAAATTAAATAGTATAAAATAAATATTTTAGATTTTTAGATTTCTTCAATTATAAAGAAAAGCATCTCTGATTGAAAACTTAAACCTTCATTTTCACAGAAAACTAAACTTAAACCTTTCAGTTTCTGTGTTAGTTGACAGTAGTTTACAAATATGCCCCTCATTATCTCTAGAAATGAGAGTATGTGACTTATCCCCTCTTTTGTTTCGTTGCATGTCATCATTCTCTTTGTATAATAGCCTGTAATGGCCAAAATATTTAGAATAATGTGCATGAGAAGGTAGGCTAAATCTTGGCGTGCCTTAACCTCACATTGCATTTAAACACCTCAGACTTAACGTAAAACATACTCAAGCCACCTCATGAGATGGTCTTAGTTGTGTTCACCTAAAAGCAGCATATAAGAAAATTCACCCTCTCTCAGACTCTGAATCAAGAGGGAAATTCTCTCAAGCACCACACGGATTTATATAGTCATAAAATGTATTTAAAAAAACCCTCCCCTTGTCATTACATCCCAGTAAAAGTTTCAGTTGCGACACCTTTTCATGATCATCCATCCATAAACATGAGTTTGGATTTCTGATTTGTAATGTCACTTGTTGTTACTTGATGTTTTTGTATTTGTCTCATACTGCTCATATTTCATTAGTTTTCGAGCAAAAGAAAATCACCTACATTTAAGACTCAGCGACCCATTTTTTGCCATCTCATGTATTTAAATGTTTGTGCCTTTTGCACTGAATGCTACATACCTGAAATATTTGGGTGTGAGCACGACAAAACCAACAAAGAACATTTAGGCACCAAATGAAGTCTTGGCTAGAAGTAAATCTGAAGTTTGCTCGGCCTCTAACTCATGTTGGATGATAAACACGACAGCTGGAAGTAGGCAATGTGATAAGACAAGCTAACTAATCAACAGTAACCTATTCAACATTGCCCAAGCTAGTGCCGTTGCCCATTTCCAACAAAATTACCCAACGAGTTGCACTGTGTGTCATCAGCTTAAGGCCTCATCCACCAAAAACAATCTTTTTTTGGGATTTCCCATGTTATCTGTTTGCCTCGGAGCAAAAGGGATACATTCTAACTTTGTTTAGCTGTGGCCAACTGCAGTATCAGGCAGCAAGTTTTGTGGTGTTCAGTTTAGGACTTTCTTACAAAAGATTATTCAGCCTAGTGCAGTGATTTGTAGCATCGAATTTCTGCGAAATGCAACACATTTTTTGATAGCCAATGCTAAGAATAGAAACCTTTTACAAGTGGCTGTATTTCACATGATTTGTGGCTTTATCAGTTTCTTGCTCAGGTGGCATGTTAATCCCAGCTGCTAGTTGAACAGTTTTAACGAGTCCCCATCGATTATTGGCTTTTGTTAAGGGCTAACAATGCTCCTGGAAAGCATGCTTCATCTGCTCTCTAATACAGTAGCACTGAAATCTGGCAGCGTGTAGATAAGCTCCCCATGCATCAGAGCTTACCGAGCCTGGAAATAAAGTTTGCTGATGGGAGACTGCCCTGAAATGATCGATGATTGGATTTAGCACATATGATTCTGGCTTTGAGAAGAATGTTTCCTCTGCGAGACAGAGGGTCCTCACTTGTTTTGATATTCTCCAGAGCTGCTCAATAAATTAAGCACATTCAGGGTGTAAAAAGGGCTGGATAATACCATTAAAGGGTGGAATGCTTTTCCCTGAAGACAAATGAGGACCATGTGTCAGTTACTCATTTAGCTGGAGTGAGCTGAGACTGCTGCTGTATCTTCTCAATCTACAGACACTGAGCTTTTTAAAAGACCCGAGTCTTAGTGTGTCCATTACATCTTGATTGATTCTAGAGTAGATGTTTGCACCTGTGATTGTAATCATATTCAGCAAAGAATGTTAAAGGTATGTCTTCAATAACCATAAATCCTCTGGTTTGTTTGGCAGCCAAATGATGCATGCTTTAAATTGAGACTTGAAGAATCAATCATGAACGATTCTCTAAAAAATAGGGTGACCATATGTCCTCTTTTTCCTGGACCTGTCCTGGCTGGCATTTCTATATTGCCTAAAATGTCCAGGTTTTGGCTTTGTTTTCTTATTGACGTACTCTATAGTCCTTATGCATTATATGTAAGCGTATTTGCTTTGCTTTGACAGATCTCTGTAGATCTCACCATCTCGCAAACCATGATTAGTCAATTATATACAACGCCTGCACGCTATTGGTCAAACTACTTTTCAGTCATTACCATTAGCAAGTATGAAAACAATAGGAAAACAAAGCCAAAATCTGGACATTTTAAGCACTTTAGTAATGGACATGTTCAGGAAAAAGAGGACGTATGGTAACCCTATCATAAAAGGAGACCTATTTGGTTAGTATTTTGAAATAAATGGTCTAGAGAGCAGAATCTATGATATACATAATAAAATTTAAGCATGGTGAATGAGATGAGCACTTATTTTACACAATATATACTCAAAATTCACAAAAATGTGACAACTTTTTGGGGCTAATTATAAAACCCCAGGCACAAAATGCAAGCGGTAAATGGATTTTGTGTAAAAGAGGCTTTTGTGTATGTTTTCTGTTGATTGTGGCAGCAGTAATTAATCAAATGATTATGAAATGATATAGAAGGAAATTATATCTGGCCATATACAGTATATTTAGATATGTGCAGTAGACATGCCTACTTTCTGCGTTTTAAAGAGATGTGGTAAAGTGTGCCAGATTGTGTTATTCGGCACATATTTTGTGGGAGCGTTTGTGCTATGATCTTATTTGAATGATTTCTTTAGTCATTCGGGCACTAAAATAACATGTATGCAAAGTATATAAATAAATGGCTCTATTAGTGGCTTTGAATTTCCCTTTACATGTTTATTCTCATCGACGAGGCTATTATTGGTAAATTTGGAAACTGACAGAAGGGCACTTTGTTAACTGGGCACAGTGTTCGACAGATGCCAGTAAATTTGAAATGGCCAATTAGCGGTCGATATGTTGGTCTTTGACTGTTTGAAATAAAATATAATCAGTCTCTCTAACATTTTCCTTTTCTCTCTTTCAGAAAACACGCACTGAACTGCCACAGGATGAAGCCGGCTCTCTTCAGTGTTTTATGCGAGATCAAAGAAAAAACTGGTAAGTCGTTCGCTTACTCTGCCAATGCAGAACTTCTGTGTGGGTTTGTGTCTTAAAGCCGCACTCCCACGTTGCAAGAAGATCTTTTTCATTACTCCGTATTGATTCTGCATTGACCATATGCAGAGACAGGTGTTTAATAATCATCAGACTGAATTTATTCTGTCCCTGTGCTCTTTTTTTAGCGTCAGTTGCGTTCCTCTGGGCTTTCCAGGTGTCTTATTGTATTGCCCACTGCAATCATTAAGTGTCATAGCAATGGATTCAGTGTTTACATTGTGAAATCTCACTTGAATTCACTTCAAAGCTTTGAACTAGCAACAAGTGTATTTGCTTTAATCTCATTGCTTTAGAGGTTACATTTCTCATTGTGAACGCCGTCCACGCAAACCATCCCGGTCCAAACAGGTAACGGCTCCCGCATCTTAACTGGAAGATCCACAGTGGTCAGTTTTCTGGCAGATCTGCAGCTTTCTCCCCTCTAAAGAGAGGCTGACAAATGATTAAATATTTATGGAGGTGTTGGCGTTGTCTTTGTGCCATGGTTTCTCTCGTTTCTTTCCTGTCATATCCTGCAGCTTGAATCCATCTCAGCTTCTGTAACAAGCATGCTCATGTGGAATTACAGTGCAAAAATGATGTGCAGCGGTCTGTTTGTGGCAATCTGTCAATAGCCCAGTCTTACTTTCCTATAATTGGATGCAAGTAAAGGGTAGGCTAGAGGAATGGGTATCGGGGGTTGTCCCTGTTGCCAAGGCAACCTGCTGTCTTATTTACCTAATGTCATTCACTTTGATTTTCACATTTAGCTTGCCAGTGGAGAAAGGGCCGGGGAGAAATGCAGCACTAAATGGAAGGTGTTGTCGGCAGTGCAGACAGGCGAAGTTAATGGTCAGAATTTTTCCATACATCACTTCGGTTATCGCCAAACTTAATCTACAATCCGTGTTTTACCCTGAAGACTTCGGCGTAAATGAGCTGATTTACTAGATGACAGGAGCAAGGCCATTACTGTCTGATCTGAGCTGCGGTTTCGCTGTTAAAGCATGTTTATGGTAAATTAATTGTGACAAAACGCATTTTTTGAACCAAAACTAAAATTCTTTGTATTTGCAATACATAGTATTTGGGAATTCTAAATCACAATATATTTTATTATATGTATTTGATTTTTTAATATACAATTTATAATGCATAATTATATTTATATATTATTTTATATTTTTTATATAATAATTATAAGTGTGTGTGT